CTTATTTGAATTTTGGTGTGCACCAAAAAACCTCTTTTGGTGAAGACCGAGGGCGTGCACCCCCGCTGGATGATTTTTCGAAGGAAATTAGAAAGTTCTGATTTTTTCAGGGTGGTGGAGAAAAAAGCAAGGAAATAAAGCAAAAGAAATGAAGCAATTCGACAAGCGGAGTCTTTTTAATGAGTTTTTGAAGATTAAAACTTGGGAAATCGTAAAAAATCACATACTACGCATTTTGGTTGGGGCTAATTTTGTTGTGCTCCTAAAATTCCATTTGAATTTTGGTTTGTACACTTGGTGTGCACCAAAAACCTTCTTTTTGTGCACACGAGGCGTCCACTCTGGGGGATGATCTTTTCGATGGAAATTAAAAGTTTTGATTTTTTCAGGTGGCGGAGAAAAATGCAAGGAACAAAAGCAAAAAAAAAAAAAAAAAAAAAAAAAAACAATTGCATGACGGAGTTCTTTTAATGATTTTTTGAAGCTTAAAACTTTGGAAAAATGTAAAAAATCACATAATATGCATTTTGGTTGAGGTTTGTTTTGTTGTGCCCTAAAATCCCCATTTGAATTGTAGTCTATACACTGGCGTGCATGCCCTTGGTGTGCACCAAAAACCTTCTTTTTGTGCACATCGGGGGCGGGTGCCCTGGGGACGATCTTTTCAAAGGAAATTAGAAATTTTTTATTTTTTCAGGGTGATGGAAATAAATGCACGGAACTAAACGCAAAAAAAAGGAAGAAATTCGCACGAGCGGATTGTTTTGAATATTTTTAAGCTTAAACCTTTGGAAAATGGTAAAAAATCAAATACTATGCATTTTGGGTCGGGGTTTCTTTTGTTGTGCTCTTAAAATCCTCATTTGAATTGTGGGGGATACACATGGTGTGAAACCCTCGATGTGCAACAAAAACCTTCTCTTGGTGCACACCCAGGCGTGCGCCCCCGGGGCATGATCTTTCGAGGGAAATTAGAAAGTTCTGATTTTATTCAGGGTGGTGGAGAAAAATGCAAAGAACCAAACTCAAAAAAAGGAAGCAATTCGCACAAGCAGATTTTTTTAATGATTTTTTTAAGATTAACACTTTGGAAAATCATAAAAAGATCACATATTATGCATTTTGGTTGGGGTTTGTTTTTTTGTGCTCCTAAAATCCCATTTGAATTTGGTGTATGCACTTGGTTTGCACGCCCTTGGTGTGCACCAAAAATTCTTCTATGCATATCGGGTGACGTGGCAAGTAGCGTGATAAAACAAGGCTAGCACTCGACAACCCTATATAAATGATAACACAAGTCTCAATCCAGAAACTTAAGCTCAAAATCGAAAAGTCAAATATGAATGATTTATTAAATCCTCTCAAAACGAAAAATGTTTATATAGGATGACAACCAACCTAATAAGACTCCTGATAACAACAAGAAACAAAGACTAAATCAATTAAGATAAGAAAATCTGAAATAGAATAGTAAAAAACACGCCAATTAACTAAAATAGCCCGAAACATGCCAAAAATAGTGGATTTCACCTCAACAGACCTCACACCAGCAAAAGTGGGCAGCCACATCGATGGGCTCGAATAAGCTTTCCAGTAATTCTTACAGGCCCCGTCATCTTCTCGGATCAAAAGTTATGCCCATTTAAATGAGGCATGCTATTAGGCCCTTTGGGCTTATGCAAGACTTTTGACTTTCAGCCTATCCATAAATTCATTCGCCAGACGTTCTACATCACTGGGGGCGTCCGCCTTCGAGGGACAATCTTTTCAAAAAAAAATCATCGGGGCGTGCACCCTAGGGGATGATTTTTTAAAGGAAATTAGAAATTTTGATTTTCTTCAAGGTGGTGGAGAAAAATGTAAGGAACTAAAAACAAAAAATAAGAACCAATTCGCATGAGCGGAGTTTTTTTATTATTTTTTGAAGATTAAAAATTAGGAAAATTGTAAAAAAATACATACTATGCATTTTGAGTGGGGATTGTTTTGTTGTTCTCCTAAAAATCTTCATTTGAATTGTGTGTACACTTGGTGTGCACATGGGGCGTGCACCCTGGGGGACGATCGTTCAAAGGAAATTAGAAAGTTCTGATTGTTTTCAAGATGGTGGATAAAAATGCAAGAAACCAAACGCAAAAAAAAAGGAAGCAATTCGCACGAGCAGATTTTTGTTAATGATTTTTTGAAGATTAAAATTTTAGAAAATCGTAAAAAATCACATACTATGCATTTTGGGTCGAGGTTCTTTGGGTTTCTCCTAAAATCCTCATTTAATTTTTTGTGTATCACTTGATGTGCACACCGTTGGTGTGCACCAAAAACCTTCTTTTGGTTCACACGGGGGTGGCGCCCTAGGGGACGATCTATCGAAGGAAATTAGAAAGTTATGATTTTTTTCAGGGTGGTGGAAAAAAATGAAAGAATGAAACGCAAAAAATAGGAAGCAATCGCATGAGCGGATTTTTTTTAATGATTTTTTTAAAATTAAAGTTTGGAAAATATAAAAAATCACATGCTATGCATTTTTTGTCAGGATTTTTTTTTTTTTTTTTTTTGTGCTCCTAAAATACCCATTTGAATTGTGGTATGTACACTTGGTGCAGCTTGGTGTGCACCAAAAACCTTCTTTTGGGGCAAACCGGGGGATGATCTTTCGAAGGAAATTTGAAAGTTCTGATTTTTTTCATGGTGGTGAAGAAAAATTAAAGGAAGCAAATGCAAAAAAAAGGAAGCAATTCGCACAAGCAGAATTTTATTAATGATTTTTTTAGATTAAAATTTTGGAAAATCGTAAAAAATCACATACTATGCATTTTTGGTCAGGGTTTTTTTCTTGTGCTCCTAAAATCCTCATTGAATTGTGGTGTACACTTGGATTTCACGCCCTTGATGTACACCAAAAACCTTCTTTTGGTGTACACCGGGGGCGTGCGCCCCAAGGGACGATCTTTTCAAGAAAAAATTAGAAAGTTCTAATTTTTTTCAGAGTGGGGGAGAAAAATGCAAGGAACCAAACGCAAAAAAAAAGGAAGCAATTCGCATGAGCAGAATTTTTTAATGATTTTTGAAAATTAAAACTTGGAAAATCATATAATCTGCATTTTGGGTCGAGGTTTTTTTGTGCTCCTAAAATCCTCTTTGAATTGTGGTGTATACACTTGGTACGCACACCCTTGGTGTGCATGCCCTCGATGTGCACCAAAACATTTTTTGGTGCACACTGGAGGTGTGCGCCCTAGAGGGACAATCTTTTCGAGGGAAATTAGTATGTTTGATTTTTTTAGGGTGGTGGAGAAAAATTAAGGACCCAAATGCAAAAAAAAAAAAAGGATGCAATTCACAAGAGCGGATGTTTTTAATGATTTTTAATATTGAAAATCGTAAAAAAAACACATCTATGCATTTAGGTCGGGGTTGTTTTTGTTATGCTCCTAAAACCTCATTTGAATTGTGGTGTATATACTTGGTGTGCACACTAGGGGCGTGCGCCCCGACGGACGATCTTTTTGAAGGAAATTAGAAAGTTTTGTTGTTTTCAGGGTGGTGGATAAAAATGCAATGAACTAAACGCAAAAAAAAGGAAGCAATTCGCATGAGCAGAATTTTTTTAATGATTTTTTGAAACTAAAACTTTGGAAAAATATAAAAAATCACATACTAGCATTTGGGATGGTTGTTTTGTTTGTTACCTAAAATCTTCATTTGAATGTGGGTGTATACAATTGGTTTGCACCGCCATTGGTGTTACCAAAAACCTTCTTTTGGAGCACACCGGGGCGTACACCCGGGACGATCTTTTCGAAGGAAATTAGAAAGTCCTGATTATTTTCAGGGTGGTGGAGAAAAATGCAAGGAACAAAACACAAGAAAAAGGAAGCAATTGCACGAGCGGATTTTTTAATGATTTTTTTAAATTAAAACTTTGGAAAATCGTAAAAAATCTCATGCTATTATTTTGGGTCGGTTTTTTTTTTTTTTTTTTTTTTTTGTGCTCCTAAAATTCTATTGAATTGTGGTGTATACACTGGGTGCGCACGCCTTTGTGTGTACCAAAAACTTTCTTTGGTGCACATTGGGGGCATGCACCCCTTGGGGACGATCTTTTCGAAGGAATTAGAAAGTTTTGAATTTTTTTCAGGGCGGTGGAGAAAAATTCAAGAAACGAAAACAAAAAAAAGGAAGCAATTTGCACGATCGGATTTTTTTAATGAGTTTTTGAAAATTAAAACTTTGTAAAATCGTAAAAAATCACTACTGTACATTTGGGTCGGTTTTTTTTTTTTTTTTTTTTTTGGGCTCCTAAAATCCTCATTTGAATTTTGGTGTACACCAAAAACTTCTTTGGTGCACAACGAGGGCGTGCGTCACAGAGGACAATCTTTTCGAAGGAAATTAGAAAGTTTTATTATTATCAAGGGGTTGGAGAAAAATGCAAGAACCAAACGCAAAAAAAAAGAAGCAATTCGTACAAGCGAATTTTTTTAATGATTTTTTTAAGATTAAAACTTTGAAAAATCATAAAAAATCATACTATGCATTTTGGGTCGCGGTTTGTTTTTGTGCTCCTAAAATACCTATTTGAATTTTGGTGTATACACTTGGTGTGCACGCCGTTGGTATGCACCAAAAATCTTCTTTTGTTGCACACCGAGAGCGTGTACCCCTAGAGGACGATCTTTTCGAAGGAAATTAGGAAGTTTTGATTATTTTCATGGTGGTGGAGAAAAATGCAAGGAACCAACCGCTAAACAAAAAGGAAGCAATTCACACAAGCAAATTTTGTTTAATGATATTTTGAAAATTAAAACTTTGTAAAAACTTTGTAGACTGACATCACATAGTATACATATGTGTCTGTTAAAAATGGTCAATCTTACCTCTCCCCTTTACTCGAAAGACAAGCCTTTTAATCATCAAAGTTAGTTATATCTAACGGTCTTGTTTTCGAGTCGCGGGAGATGAAATTACCGAGTTTACCGAACAAAAATGTCAATCTCCAACATTCCCACTGAAATTCCAGGTCCGAAATTTTGTAATCAAATATAAACATTTACGGGAAGTGAATGTGAAAGCATACAAACCTGTTGCAGTGGTGACACTGATCTCACAACTACACCTACACAACTAGTTTTTTCACTAGTTTACAACAAAACCTAAGTCCACGTGCAAGCTCGGCTTCTCTTCTGATTACATATATAATTATATTGTATTTCTAAAATCAAATTAACAATATTGATATTCTCTAAACTGCAACACTGTAGCCCCAATTCTTTCTTTGGGGAAAACAAATGATACAAAATCTGTTGGGAAAATCTTCATGCCCAGCTACACCTGCGGATCGACAACTGCTTCCCCTACAGCAACAAAAGCCAAGTTAATCACATTTCAAATCCTGATTTTCTTTCTTTCCAGTGCTGAATATCATCACCACTAAGCAAAACATTCTTTGATCATATTTATAGTGATTTAGTAAAGAATTTGCAGCCAAATAGATGAAATTGGATGACATATTATATAACATTGCAATCGAATATTAGTCTTCTTTGGAGCTTACCATGCATCCTTTTCAAAAAGCGTTCAAATTCCAAGAAGTTTTCTCTCTCCATAAGAGGTGGGCCAAGCCTGAGGTAGGTAAAAGAAAAGAAGTGTTTTCCATCTGGATCACCGAATGGCTTGGCATCATCCAGAATCTTGTTATAGCTTAGTCTATCATGGCAAGGAAGTGGGTTCTCACTAGCAATAGGTACGCAAGCATCCCATGCTGCATTCAGCATCTGAAATAGATAGTTGTTCACAGCCAAATCAATCCTCCAACATTAATTTGCACAACTGAAACTTTAAGTATTATATAGCATGGTAATTTACTGAATGTTGTGCTTTCTAACACCTTTTTCATGGTCAAACAATGAACTTAGAGAAAGAAATGAATTTGATTATTTCAATGCGTGATGCTTACTTGCCAAGCTAACCCTTCAGAATCTGAAAATGCCTCTGGGAAGCCCTCATGCCTGTCTAACACATGCTGTTCAGCAGAAGTGAAGTTTAAAACAGCTCCATGCTTCTTTAGCATTGCTGCAATTGCAGCATAGCCGTCACGATTACATGGATTATAGAACCCAGCAGTTAGTTCCGCAGCATGACTGGCTGTCTTGTACCACCAGTGAATACCTGATAGCTGCTCAGCAATTAAAATATAGCAAACAGACAGGATAAAGTAATAATTACTATGATAATTTTCTATCAATTTGCCGAGGGTTAATCTACATTCAGGACATAAATTAGTTGAATAAAATTTGATGAAAACTGACACAAACCTAGGAAATAGATGACTATACTAACCAAAAGAAACCAGAATTTTCACAGAAAAGAACAAGATCTCCAATCTAATCTTAGTAACAACTCAATCCACCTAAAATAAAAAATATCTCAAAGCTAAACTCACCTTTGCTGCAATGCAGGTGCCGTCAAAAGCCAACTTTGCTAGAGAAAGCACCCGATCACCATGATCGACTAAAGCATGGGAGTACCAATCAAGGAAAAACCTTCCATAGTATCCATTATAGTCACCTCCATCACAGAAGAAGCCTGTTTCATGTGGCTGTGAATTATAAGAACCGGCATTATCTGGTCCCCTATCCCAGAAGGACTGTCCTCTAGCTTCTGCTGCCTTCCTCAGGCTTTTTAGCAAATAATGATCATAACACTGGAAAAAGAAAATTTTATGTTGATGCACAAACAGGAAAAAAACATGATAAATAAAATGGATGACACTAGATGAAGACCCAAGTGCACAAAAAAAAAAAGTGAACCAACTATTCAAGGGGAACCACCCTATAATTATAATTTTCATATAAAACCAATTACCCATGCTAAGAATCTGGAGAAAAGCTCATTTTCTTAAGTAGATCAAAAACCTATTGTCATAAATACAAGTTATACTTGTGCAATTATAATTCCTAAAATATCATGTTTGAGATAACCCTGAAAAGCTCTTCACATATCTTTTCCTACTTACAGGGGTGAGGAATAGGAGAGGTGAGGATGGTAGCAGTTGTGGTGTTCTAGTTACTAGAGCGTGTAAAAAGAATGGGGAGAGTAGCCGTTCTAATATTTTCATGGGATTCAAAGTGTTATGACAACTGCTATATGTTCATAATGGAAAGGTTGTGTCTAAATGTGTGCGCATTTGCAATTTATATAATGTCTTAAATACATGAAACAGATTTAAGTCTTCCATTGGCCATATCAACAAAATCAAAATATTAGCCAGGCAATAGGAAAGCATTCCTTGGGCTTGGATTAGCTCTTACTATTACCTCTTTTCTGACATTATCTCTCTTTTTTTCCCCCCTAATTCTATTGACAAATAAGCTTGATTGATTATTGAGGAAATTACTCTAAAACCCCTGAGGTACAGACTAAATCTAATAACCCCCCTCAGATGTCAGTAATAGCTCTCAACCCCCTCCAATTTGTGTAACATTAGAACTTTTTCATTACTTTTAACAGAAGAGGGAAAGAAAAGTAAATTTATTCAGAATCTTATTAACTGATGAAGATAAAAAAAAAAAAAAAAAATTTAGACAACATACAAAGATATATTAAAAAAAAAAAAATTGTTATCTCCCTTGGCCCCAACCCACTCTCCACCCATGGGAATTTTTGTGTTCTAAACTCTGCCACCACCACACTCTATCACCATAACATCACAAACCAGAATAATCACTCCATACAAAATACCCAGACAACATATTTTAATCCACTGCTTGAACTGATCCTATGCCACCCAGTTAACCCACCAACACCCAACCAAAATTCTTAGCCCAACCCCCCATCACCATCAATAACATCCACCTCCCAATCCACCACCACTTCCCAAAAGCAAACCTTAAAAAAACTCCAATCCATCTAAGAGAAAAAATTTCCAACTCTGCACAACTCCAAGCATGCAGCACGGTGTCCACTCCCGCACGCTGCCACATACCTAGGCAAGGTGTGCATTTTATATAAAATTGTGAGTGTGCTTGTGTTTTAGATTAGGGTTTCGGTAGAGATAAAAGACAGAGAGATGAGGTTTGTGTGTTGTGGGGAAGGAAATGGGCTTGGCAAATGGTGATGGTGGTTAATGGCAGCAAAGGACCAAGGGAAGGTGGGTGGGAGGAGAAAGGATGTGTTGTTACGAAGTCTTTTTTTAAAAATTTTTTTTTATTTTTTTATTTTAAAGAAGCCTAACGGTATAAACTATAAAGGGTCTTTCAAAAGAAAAATTAAGGGTAATGGGTAATTACTTGCTATGCAGATGTCAAGGAGCAAAAATAGTAAATCTGACAAACGGTAGGGGGTTGAGAACTATTACCGATACCAGAGGGGGTTCATTAGATTTAGGCTATACCTCAGGGGGTTTAGAAATTAACTCATTGTTTATTACTGAAAAATGAAAAACAAAGTTCAACATCAAAGTCAAAATGACCATAGCAACAAACATATCTAAGCTTTTCTACAATAGCAACTTCATTTTACTTGTACTCCAAAGAAAAAAGAACATAATTAGCAACACTCAATCAATCAGATCAGATGGCAGACAGACTTAATCAATGTTGAAATTACAAACAAATTACCTGGAATTCCCCAATGCCAGGATATCTCCAACCATGCTTTACAGGACAAGAAGGGTACCGCAGTTCGCCACAAGGACCTAGTCCGACTTCAACCATGGCGATGATACCATCCTGAAAGAATTCATCAAATTCCTTACGGAAGCTTCTCATGTAGTCAAAGTACACCTACATAATTTAGAAAATAGATCATCTAAGATTGTACCCACAAAGGCCAATTATAAGGTAAATATATTCAACCTACGCTAATGCCCACATAAGAAAAGCATCAAACATACACGGATAAGAGTAATTCATTTACAGACACAAACATTAGAACCCAAGTTAGATAAATTTTTAGACTCATGCTTATTTACTCTTTATCAGCTCTTCCAATTTATTTCTTCCTTTGTTCAAGATTCCTTTTGGGGTTGCAAAGAGAATAGAAAGAAAGATGAGAGAGTTCTTATCAGAAGTGTATGATGGAGTGAAAGGATCTCATCTTCTTAGATGGGACATTGTCTCAAGGCCCAAGATCAAAAGGGGAACCTGGTATTGAAAATGTGGAGAAAAAGATGAAGTCTCTCTTAGCTAAATGGCCTTGGAGATTCCCACTTGAAAAGAAATTCTCTTTGGCATGGGGTGATTAGAAGTAAATATGGTGTCAACTCAAATGGGTGGAAAACTAATGTGGTTAACAATTTTTTGGAAGCACTTGGAAAGCAATATCTACAAGTTTTCCTGTACATCCTATCTTAATAGGATGTTAGATGATTCCCCATTGGCGGTTTTCAAACCTTAAAAGATGATTTGGAAGGAGAAAATTTCTCCCAAATTCCAAGTCTTTGTGTGGGCTTTAGCTCAAGGAATAATCAAATGTACAAATGATATTGCAACACTGCTAATGTAATCACAGTTTTACTTACATATTTTGCTTTTTGTCAGAGTAAAGAAACAACCCCCCTCCTTCCACACAGACACACAACCCAAAAACAAGAGAGAGAGAGAGAGAGAGAGAGTACAATCACAATCAGTTTCAGTCTTTATTATCAAATCAAAACCTAGTACCTCCACAGCAGTCCGGCCTCTTAAAACCCGTTCCTTGTCAATCCCCCATGAGAGACACTCAGGGTTTCGTCTTCCCTCTCTATCAGTGAAAAATATGTCAGGATTACTTCGACCAATTTCTGCTACCCAATGCGGTAGAGGAATACAAACATCATCACCAACATTGCCTCCACACTCATGAAATGACATCACAACCTGAACCAACATAAAGAATCCAATCAACTATCAGTTCCAAAATGAATTCTTGGAGAATAAATAACAAACCCATACGTAAAAATAACAAATTATCTAAATGAGAAAATAACATAGGTAATAACAAATTATTATGTCAACTATGAACATTAAGCACATGCTAAGAGTACTTAACGCTACCAAAAGAATAAAACCACATAAAGCAAACCTGTAACTTAAGCTTAAGCTCGGAAACCATTTGAAAGAGCTTCTTGTAACCATTCCAGTTATAATCTTGAGGAGCATGAGCCTCAACTATTCCCCACCAGCAATCAACCATAACCCCATCGATATTTATTGATTTCAATACCCTCAGCTGCTTCAGTAGACCATCTGCATCAACCAGTTCGCACTTCATGTTGATAACACCCAACTGCCACCATAAGCTTGAGTCATTGGCACATAATCTCCAAAACAATTAATAAAGATGTCACGCATGGCATTTGGTTAGCCCTTAAAACAAGCATACACATTAATCGAAAGATACCCTTTCTTCATGATGATAAATCACAAAGCTCAAAAATATCTAAGAAAAGTTGCTTGCACAGAATGCAAATAGGCTCACATTGAGTAGAATTTCAAGTTGTTAAAACAGTGAATCATTGGTCAACTATGATTAAAATTAGAAGACTTACAGGCAGCATCACATAAACTGGAACATATGGTGTGCCAGCAAAATCACGCTCTGGTAACTTTGGAGGTAAATCAACAATCTGCAAAAAGCAAGAGAAGTTGAAAACAAATATATAACATGAACCAACCAACCAAGCTTTCAAATTCAAATTGAAAGAGCCAACTTTTATACCAGATATAGAACATCACTATTTGAACTCGTAGGAGATACTATCAAGAACACAATCATTTATCTCTAATAAATGATCCTGACATCAAGGGGTTTCTGTATTCTGTCTTATCTAATAGTAAGATTAATTAAGTGTTCTCTATTGTACTCCAAGTGCAATTAGGGGCATAATGAATATTTAAATTCTAAGAACAGTACAAGATATCATCCATCAAATTACAAAGAGATCAAAACGCAAATAACCTCTGAACAAATCAGTTCCTACCTGCTTGTCATTAACAGTATCCATGGAACCACCAATAAGAGAATGAATCTCAGTTTGTTCTCCTCCATCTCCCACCAGAGCTGAAGTTTGGGAACGGGCACTAGGGGATAAATCATAAGGTGAGGGCGTGGGCATGAAAACACCTTTCATGCGACATGTGTTATACTCCAATGAGCTCCGATAGCCAGGAGAGATTCCTTTCTGAGAAGTAGTTTGTGTCTGTTGTGACACAACATGAGAAGATGGATTTACCATTGCAGAAGTGCCAGCAGCAGACCTTGATCCCTATTAAACATTATAGAGAAAAATACCCATTTGGTTTTCTGATTTTCATTAAAGCAAATACCAAGGGGGTGACAAAAAAACGAATTATAGTTGAACATGTGATATAAGAGAAGCCCTTTCTAACTGTTATTCAATCCAAGTAATCTACCGGATATGGCCTTAGATTAGCTAATTGGAAAATATAGGAAACATACCTTCAACAAACTCATCTAAAAAGATATATGACAAACACATAAGAAGCTACATTAGATCGAATAGAGTCTTCGCTGAGTGAATTTAAATAAATTAACATGATATAGATGAATTTAGGATTTTAAAAATAAAAAAAAAAAAAAGAAAACAAAAAGTCCCCTGTGCACCTCCTATGCATCACAAAGGCCACTCCTTGCCCAAGGATGCCCTAGGTACAACCACAGGAAAACCTTCATTGGCTCAAAACAGTCTTTTTACATCTTATCATTATACAAACTTTTGAGACATTAGCTTCAAAGATTTTATATGGCTTTATTAGATATTTGATTTAATAATGAAAGGCCAATAATATGTTGAAGTGAGTGATAAATGAAAACTTTGCACTTGATAATTAAGTACCTGAGACCTTGAAGGAAAGGTGGTTCCATCAGGAAGAACAACCCAGCCAGCTTCCCTTGCCAAAGCTGCAATCACATCATTAATATCAGCCCTGACCCTAAGGTTATAGTTCCCATGCCTCCGTAGACCAGCCAAGATCCTTGCAGTGATTGCCCTCCGATGCCGCTCCCTCAGCTTTGTCCTCTCCTTCTCTTCCAAGGGTCTACACCTCCGTACTCCTCCCCCTCCAGGGGTGCCCACTTGATCCTGAATTTGCTGGTGGTGTGGAAGCTGATTATTATTACTACTACTTGCAGCTATACCTACGTCAACCCCCACCATCACTTGCCTGTGAATGCGCTTCCCTCCATTTTCTTCATCTTCTTCATCCTCTTCCTTCACATCCATCTCTAATTCTTCCTCATCATCATCCTCACTTGTTCCTATTAAATTTTGCATATCGGTTGCCATCGTTCTCTCCTTTCTTCCCAACTTCTAACCCCAGCTACCCAGCTACTTCTGATGTAATGAGTTCTACCCAAAATGCCATTATTACAGCTTAATTTTTGTTCAACATGTATGTATGGTCAAGATTTTCAATATAATGCCGCAATATGATCTGAAATACAATGCCTGGTTGACTAAAGAGTTCCCTGAGAAAGAAATGGAACTTCAAATTATGTCTCACATAGATAGAATTATGTCTCAAACTGATACAATACTGATCAAATATGATTGATCGAATGAAAATGAGGGAAAGAAATGCTCTCTTCACATAAGCTGAATTTTTTTTTCAAAACTCTTAGTAAAGGGTAAAAAATTATGGTTTTTAGCAAAGATAACACTTTCACAACCCTTATGCTAAATTCTTGCCCTTCTATTCAGAAGTTAGCATGAAAGGACCAATATAACCATATTTACAGTACTTGCTCATTAGATTATAAATTACAAGATCAATGAAAATCATCAAATGAAAAAGGAAGGTGGAATAGGATTAAATGCACACAATCTCGTCCTACTCTTCACAATCTACTACCGTCTTCCACTCTTCAAAAGCTATTTGATTCAAGTCAAAGTGATTGAAATTGAACTCTAGTGCACAGCCATCACAATGGAAGTTCCAAATATCCATTTTTTGCTAGAAAACCGCCAAACAATTTATTTAAGGTTCTAATGGAACTTCCATTTAAGTTGAACTATTTAGAGCCCAAGTAAACATGTATTTGCTCAATTGTCCCCTGGTAAAGAACTTGGCTCAAATAAGTTGAAGTTGAGTTTCTTTTCTTGTTTTCTTAAATGTAAAAGCAAATAAATTGAGTTGTTTTTCTTTTTCTTTTTTGGAGGTAAAACTCAATTGAATCAAAAGATAAAAATTGGCAAATGAAAAGTTAGCACGTTTCAATCACAAACACCTAGAAAGGACATTCCTTTAAACCTATATAGACCTCTGTACTTAAGTGAAAATCAAGCTTCCAGGAAAACCCTCTGAAGTAAACAAACCCATGCTAAAGTTATCAGGACAGGAGGAAAACAAATAATGTTATATCACCTTAAACACGATTACTCGCTTAACTCTCAAGCAAAGCCTTCAATTAACAGGGATGAACATAGTCTTAATGGCCACCAACTTTCCATAATCCACGAATTCACCTTCTCACCAACCAAATCTCACATATAGATACTCTTCAACCAGAAACCTATTTTCCCTCCCCCGGTACTCTAACAGTACCACCGATATTCTTACCGAAAATTCCAAAATATTTCCGCCACCAGAAAGAATCTCCGGCTTCGTTCCACGGCGAGTCGTCTGAGCCGCGGTAAAAGAACAAACGATATGCGGAGAAGCGAAATTTGAGGCTTCTCCGGCGGATACGAAAAGCGCGGCGACCAGTAAGATAGGAAGTGCGCCCGTGCGTGTGAGGCCTAGGGTTTCACGCGTGTGTAGAGACTCGAACGTGTAGTGTGTGCGAGATTAGGGTTTGGCACGAACGAGGTGTGCGTGTGTATAAGCGAGGGAGAGGATAAACGGACGTGTGACTGAAACACGCGTTGCACGTGCCTATACTTTGGCTCAGGCTCCAGGGACATGGATTCAATATTTGGGAGAGACCCGACCCGGAGAGGCCAAAATTTAGATAGAAAATCATAATATAGTCCGGGTAATAATTTCAGGGTTAATTTCACATACTATCTTTAAAAAAAGTTATATTAAATAATAAAAAATCTATTGAAAATTTTTAGATATAGAGGCATTTTCTTATTGTACAAAATTTGATTAAAAAGTTTTTTCAAATGATCGAGTGGCTCGATAGAGACTTTCGGATGTAATACTCAAGTGGTCCTAAATTCAAGTCTTTCCTTAATTGTTAACAAGGGTCACCACTAAAGCTGTTCTAGGGATCAATTGAAGACATCTTGGTCATTAAAAAAAAAAAAAATATATATATAGAGAGAGAGAGAGAGAGAGAGAGAGAGAGTTAATGACTTTCCCACCCAAATAATGGTTTACTAACATTTTTCCACCCATAGACTTTTAAAATACTATTTTACTATCTAAGATTATATTCTAGAGTCAAATAGAGAGCAAAATTCTCAATCCAGACTATTATGGCTTAAATTTGAATAATAAATTAGTATTTTAAAAATATATGGATGAAAATGTGTCATTAAATCATTATTTTGGTAAGAAAAAGTTGTTCATATATATAGCAAAAGCAATCTTTGATACTTTCATTTTCATCTTATTCTTATTTCTCTTATCCTTGATAAAATATATGTAAATACGCCTTATGGTACCAATGCTATTAGCACGAATAATGTAGTTTGAGATCAAGGAGCAAATGCAGAGACGATTGGACTTCTCACAGTATGCGTCCCATTAACCTCATACCATGTCAAAAACCCAAAATTTCCAATATAATCACTTTCTGGACTTACACCACTTCCCACATCAATGTTCACCGTTAAATTGAACTCAGCTTTGCTATATTTTCCGGCAAAGGATACAATCGCCGGTTTCACAACAACTTTCATCCCAGTTGGAGCCTTTACCGCCGCGGTATAAACTGAGCTAGAATCAGCTACATTTGTCAACGCCCTCTTGAAGGTCATGCTTGTAGTATTGGTGTTGTTCAATATGACCATAAAGGAGGGATAATTAAGGTCTAGATTAGCATTTTCACAGCTGAATTTTGATGTCCCTGTGAGAACTCTTATCTGATGGCTTGTATAGTTCAGTCCACACAAGTAACTGATATAGTCCTCAACCTCAACGTCATACACAAGTCCAGGATCCATGGCCTTGTTGGGTTTTACATGGCCTGAACCAAAATCGAGAGGGGTGCCAGCGACGCCTGTGGTCATGTCAATGATCACGCCATTAGCATTGTCCCTCAGGTAGGCAGTTGTCATCATTGCTGAACGAATTGCAGCCGAACTCCAGTCATGTTGGGCGACTTTAAGCAGCGCGCCTAGGCCAGCTGCATGAGGGCATGACATGGATGTGCCGGACACCAGAGCGTAATCAGTGAGTAAATAATCGTCACCTATGGGTGCCGAAGCCCGATTGGGAACCCATGCCGCCAATATATTGACCCCGGGAGCCAATATATCAGGTTTTAGTATCCATGGTGACTGTCGATCAGGCCCTCGAGATGAAAAATATGCCACCTGTGGAGCTGGCTTTGTGCCCAATATTGTAACCTGGAAATTGATACTAACTGTTGCATTTTTAGAATTGATTATATACTTCTTTACTAACTTTCCATCGCGCAAATTCACTGCCACAAAAGGCATATTAAAGTCATCCGGACGAAGAAATTGGCCTGAGTCTGTACTCATGAAGATAGCTCCAGCTGCTCCGGTTCTGGACAATTCGTCTGGTTGCACAGAATCACAAAAGATGTATTTACCTGCAACATCTTCAGGGTCTAATGAGTTATCTTCACAATTTTCCTTAGACCGATTCCCATTTCCAAAATATATGGGAACCCCAGAGACAAACAAATTCTCTGGGAAGAAAGATCTTCCCGTGACAGTTAGCTCTTGATCACCTAGAGTGATGTGAGCTGCAAAATCTCTATCAACAGTTCCAGCGCCAACAGTGGTAATCCATGGAGCTCCATTAAGCATTGTGTATGAATGAGGACCTCCATTTCCTGCTGAACACGCAACGAAAATGCCTTTCTTCATGGCCGCAAAAGCTCCAATGGCTATTGGGTTTTGATCAAACGGAGTTGTCTCAAAGAATCCTAAGGACAGTGACAGGACGTCAACACCATCCGCCAAGGCTTGATCCAAGCCAGCCATAACGTCAGTTGCCGCTGCATCATAACTGGTGTTGAAGAACAACACTTTGTACATGGCAATCCTTGCCATTGGTGCCATTCCAGTGGCGGTTCCTTCAGCGTATCCAAAGTAATCAGCATGTTGAACACGACTGCCGGCTACTGTTGATGATGTATGGGTTCCATGACCCCAGTAATCTCTGGGAGAATCATAGTCGCTTGGTTCTGTTATATTCAACCCATACTGCTTCATACCTTTGCTAAATGAACGTGCTCCAATCAATTTTTTGTTGCAATGAGAAGAGTTAAATTCAGCTCCAACTTCACATGTGCCACGCCATCGGTCAGGAACCGGAGGCATGCCTTTATCGTTGAAGCTCTCACTTTCTGGCCAAATTCCAGAATCAAGGACACCGATAATTATGTCATTGCCAAAACCTGAAGCTGGCCATAACCCAGCATGTTTCTTTAGGCCGAGAAAGTTTGGAGTGTGTGTAGTGTGGAGTTGGGCAAAAGATTCTGGATATGTGGCAATGTGAGCAGGCAAACTTTGGAGTTGGTCAAGCTGGCTCTGTGACAACACGGCACTGAAACCATCCATCACATGATTGTAGGTGTAGAGATGGGTTGGACTTGGGACAATATCATCTCCTGATGAGAGAGATGAAAGTGTAGAAATGTACCAGTCGTGGGGGGTGGAGAAAGGAGCTGGCATTGCTGATTTGTCCATGTGAACAATGTAAGTTTTACGTCCACCTGACATGGTCGATGAAGTGGCAGTAGATACAAAGAGCAAGAGGGAGAGAAGCAACACAGAAATAACAATGTTCCCCATGGTTATGCTCACTAACCTGTGGGATCTAAGAGAATCTATATACACACAAGAAGGGATAAATCGTTGTAAAGCTAGCTGTGGTCGATAAAATCAACGTAATGGTCTGTTTAAAGGGCAACGTTTAGTATCAAGTATCTCTGCATGATTACAATAAGACCAAACAGTAAACTCATCAGATGCATGTAAAATTAAATAAGACTCACTAATCAAGACTCATCCAAGGCTAAGATTAATGTTTGTTATGATTTTAAGCCGGAGTAGCCTCAATACATACTAGGCCGGCAGCTGCTAACATATAGGTTGATAAACATTGGATTTGCTGATGGAAGTTTGTCTTAGGCTGACATTCTAAGGAAACAAGAGAAAACCTACATCTTGATCTCATGCGCTCTCATACTTGGGAACATCAATTCTGCCGTATCTCCATTTAACTAACCTAGATTTGGAGATAAAAACTAGGAAATAGATACAAAAGCAGGCCCCTCCAGTAGATGATAATTCAGTATAGAAGGCGCTTGGCTGATGGCTGATGCTGCTGCCAAGCTTCTTTGAGCAGGAAAATCATGTAAGAGATTATATTTGTATTTTGTAAAGGTACATGCAGTTATTACCAGGAAACAAGAAAAGAAGAACAAAGCAAGTTTTGGGAAATAAAGAGGATTGTCTTCACAAGGGATCATTTACAAGCCACTCAAAAACAAAGGGAACATTGCCGATAGTCTGATACTGTATACATGAAGGCATTTTTACTTGTATGAATCAAAATAACTCAATCAATCCTTATGATTAGTTGCAATATCAGGGTGCCTGTCACGAGACAACTGAAAAAAAAAATATATCAACGCCTCACATATCCAAAAAATTTCAATAAAACATAAACTGAAGCGTGTAAAAGAGCTAATCTTACAATTTCTTTTTCCTTTTCAAAGTAACACCCTCGGAATCATTGAAGTGCTCTATAATATGAAAGCTTTTACTCCAAAAAGATGATAAACCGATACCAGCCACATGATCCATAGCTTCTCGTTATGGCGTTCGGCTACAGGCTTTCTACTCGTGATCAGTAGCGGAAGCCAAAAAAAAGAGGCTGACTTCAAAGAGAGAGCAAATTGGGAGGAGACTGGGGAGAGCCAGTTTCAAGTAAAAAACTTCGACTACAATATGACCTTGATGTACTTGACGAAGAAGCAAGATATCTTCCATCCCCACTATGAAAAATTGGGTCACTCCTATGCATTTTCCCTTTACTTGTCCTTGGCCTCCCATCAGTTTCTTCATATTCTTCATCTTCCACAGCTTGGACAAAACCACTATGCATTGGGTCAGAACTCTCATACAATATTCTAAGGACCTGTTTGATTGAAGGCCTGGTCTGTCCTTCTCTCTGAGTGCACCATCTCACAATTGTCACAACTGTCTGAAGCTGTTCTAAGTCAAAGGAGTCCTTTATACGGGGATCCACTAGCTCGGATAATCTAGATTCTGAAGCCATCAACATTTGGGTTGACTCTACCAAATTCTTGCCATCTTGTATTGCTCGTCTTGCAGTCACAATCTCCAACAGTAGCACACCATAGCTATATACATCACTTTTCTCAGTGAGCTCTTGAGTGACCACATATTCAGGATCCATATAACCTGTAAGCCTTTCAATTTTAGGTTCTTTGGCAAAAATAAACAACAAAACTGAGAATGTTTAAGCTGCCAAATGCTAGTTTTTCCTAACCTGGAGTTCCCCGAATATCAGTGTTTACCGGTTCAAAGCAAACAGAACCATCTTTCGAAGCATGTACAAGGCCAAAATCTGCAATCTGGAAGGAGGGACTATTTCAAGAACTTAAGGACATGCTATGAATGCTATATTTGCAGGGAAAGAGGAATTCTTTGAACTTATTTAATACATTTTTGTCCTCTTCTTAAACAGCATTTAGTTTTAAAAAGGAGTTTGAAGCCTGTACTTAAAAGTTATAATCAACCTGACATAAAAAATTTAAATTGTAATCATGGCCAAAATGTATTAAGCAAATTACAAAGGTCAAAGGACACTACCTTTGCAACAAAATTCTCATCCAGTAAAATGTTGCTCGACTTAATATCTCTGTGGCATAAAGGTGGATCACAATAAAAATGGAGGTACTCCTGAACAAGAGAACAGTGAATGTGGAAGATAATTCCACAATATGAATAAAGTTGAAATTTCATCAAACTGAACCAATCAGCACCAATAATGAGCATAATTCTACAAAATTTAATCAAGCCGAACCAATCAGCCCCTATAATGAGAATAATTCTACAAAATTCAAAATTACCAGAGCATTAGCCACATCAATAGCAATTTGGATTCTTGTCTGCCAACTCAGAGGTGCTCTTCCTGGTGCTGCAAAATATAATGCAAAATCCATTCAGATAACAGGCAACCTAAAAAGCTTCAGAGAAACAGAGGAACAAGTTGATTTGATCATTGCCTTCAATAGGCATGTTAAATCAACCTTGCTGGGCCTAGTTGTTGCCCATGTTGGGTTTTCATTTTGGTAATTCTCTTCTCATGTATAAAAGGGCACCCTACCAGCCTGAGCTGCACTTGACATGTTGGGTCTGCCTAGCAGCGCAATGCGCCTTGGGCACCATGCCAGTGATGGGGATGACATGGCACAAGCTGGTTTGGCTGCACCATGCTAATTTATACAGTACCAAAAACAAGCTAGGTCGACCCACTTTTACAGGTGTAATCTCCCTTATCATTTCTTACCAAGTTCAATAACATCAGCATCTAAAACTTGGAAAATAACACTTCTGTGATTAAACTTATAAACATTAATCTCAAATGCTAAGCAGAAGCAGTTAACTGAGGAATGGAGATTGGAGAAGCACATACAATGAAGATGATCCTTTAAGCTTCCATTTGCCATATACTCATACATGAGTAACCTGCAATGCACCACCAAAGTATCAAATTGTGCTAGTATAAGAGTTCATCACGTACACACACTTTGCACTTTGTTACCTAATTAAATTACCTCTCGCATTTTTTAATGCAAAAGCCTCTCAGAGCTACTAGATGACGATGATGCAATCTAGCAAGAAGCTCTAACTCTCTGCAGAATTCATCCTCCCCTTGCTCTGAAACTTTGTTCATCCGCTTCACCGCCAAAAGTGAACCATCACTAAATTGAGCTTTGTAGACAGTTCCAAAGCCCCCTTGTCCAATTACAGTGTTAAAATTATCAGTTGCTTTCTTTGTCTCCTTGTAGCCAAATTTTCGGAACATTGATGAAGAACCTGCATTTTAAAAGCCACCAACCCAAGAATCCCCCAAAAGTTCCAGAAAAAGGAAATGTTCAGTAAATGCAAATTTTAAGAAAGCCCATAAACAAGAAAAGGATCAGAACCAAACCTTCCTGAAATTTTCGCATAGACCGAGGAGGAGGGAAAGATTTCATAGAGGTCTTATCTGTATTCTCAGAATACTCTAGCTCTCTGCTTTTCCTACGAATAAGAACTATCAAGACTATTAACATCATGACAGCACCTGCTGTAACTGCAATGCCAATGGTAGGAATTAAGGTCAGGTGATAGGAATGGTGATTTCCATTTTGTCCATTTTGAGGTACACCCAACGTGAGTTGGCTTGGGCTAGCAGCAATCAATGGACTTGGAGAAGCCTCAGGGGCCAGCGAAGATGGAGAAGATTCTGAAATTATCATCTTCTAGAAAGTTAAACTTCAAGTGATTAAATACAAGAATGCACAAAAAGCACATTAATGATGTAAAAATAAAATGTCATCATCAAAGTGACGCACAACATATTTTGGATAGAGAAAAAGATGTGACAATAAGCATACTTCATCATATATTCACAGTGTAATATCATTCAGATAACAATCAAATGAACATTATAAGGGCAAAATGATAGAAAAGTGCAGCTTTTTCCAGACCTAAAAATTCATCTTATTCGTTTTCTAGTCTTAAACAGGGTAGTTTCTCACTATAAAAAAGTAACTATAAATACAAATTATAAACCATTCACTCAGACAAGGAACAGAAAATAAAAGAGGGAATAAAACATAATTTGATAAACACATAAATCAAATGTCATAAGATATTACAATTCCAGTTTTTCTTCAAAAGGTCTTTGTACCTGAAGGAATGTCAAGCCCTTGAACTTGAAAGAAGCAGCTTGCAAGGTCAACGGCTGAACCATAGTCAAGTTGGCTTGCAAGTACAGCAAAAGTTGCATCACGGCAAGTACTCAAAGTCATGTTATCTTCTACTCCTACCAAATGATGGAGGTATACAATGCCAGCATTTAAACACTTCCTACAATCACTTTCCTTTGAAAGAGGCAGTTTGCAATTTTCTGTGACATCCATAAATTTTGGAGACTGCAGCATCTGCATGACCGTTGTTCGACCCCTACAGTCATAACTGACAGGAATTTTTGTCCCAAACCCACAGAAAACTGTAGCATTTCGTGAAACACCATGCAAATCCATTGTTTGTGATATGGAATGGAGGCAGATGTCCGATAAATTTGAAGTAACCCCTAGGTTGCTAGTTGCATTTGCATAGCGAGCAATGGAGACTGCAACATAAGCATTGATATAGCGGCAACACTTCCCTCTGTCATCTTTATTAGAGCACATAGAGGCCACTAAAGTGAAGTTTGATCTGCTCAAATCTAAGGGGCACTCTGCAGAAGTTGTAAGAGAATTAATCAATCATGAGATGGATTTACTTACAATTTTGAGCTTGTTACATGAAATGTTAAATGAAAGAAGGAAACTCCAATAATAAATGCTATTGTAAAGACTCAACCTCTCTAAGATAATGTTTGCAAAACAGGTCCTGGAAAAGAAAAGGGCAAAGCTACGTAACAAAGTAAATCCTAACGTTTGTTTTAGTTATATTTAAATGTCTAGCATGTGCTATAAAAAAATTCTTTGGCCAGGCTGTAACACCTGACGCACTTCACTGTTCAGCCACAATACCAACACCATGTCATAATTCTTCGTACTGCGATCACATCTGAAAACCTGGTATTAATAGTCGAGACTACATCCATGTCAGTCTCTTTCTTGCTCAAGAACAAAGGAGGAAATAATAACAAAGAGAAGAAGCAATCAAGTTAGCACAGGTTCAGGTAAACTCTTGAACACATTCACCAGAAGAAAACTACACATACAGTAAAATAACAAGAGAAACTAGAATAAAAGAAACCAAAAAACAAACTGTAGGCATGGGGGAGTAAGGTAACAGTAGTAAAGGACGAAGAATGACAGTTTATGCGAAGGTGATGCACTTTAGTAGGCATTTCTTCTGATTGGTAAATACACATACAAACCCCAATATTGTCTTTGTCTCTCACTTTTCTCAGGATATTTTGACAGATTATGATTTGTAAAGTTGCCTCAAAAACCCCCAGAGTTGGTTGGATATCAGTCAACCACTCAGACAACTTCACCAAACGTTGGTGATGCCATCATCAAACACAATTGCATCGGGCTCTAAACCTAGAAATATATAAACAAGGAAAGAGCTTCTTTTTAACTGCACTCGACAGCCTACCATGCCATGACCCTTGACCACCACCCTAAAAATATGAAATATTAGAAGGGGTGGATGTCTGAAACCCCTGTATTTAGCCCCATTGGTAATATTTACAGAGAAGGATGTTAGAAACAGGCAATTATCCCAAAGCTTTGCTCCCATCAGTAACAAGTATCTCCTCAACAAACTCTTCTACGATTAGTTAAACAATGTTTAAATAAGATTTAGCATCAACGTCATTCATAGGATCTATATTAAAGTTTAATGAATATTGTTCAAAACTATATTTAAAATTCCCTCCATCAATTTGTCGATAAAATCTTCCATCATTACAGAATATTTAACAAGTGATTCAGCGTCAACATAATGCCTACATTGGAGAAGCGATTATCATTGAGCTGGCTATAAATAGCTCACAGCAAGACATTAAGAGGAATTGGCAAGACAACTAATTGAAGTAGCAAAAAGGACAACAAACTTTGCAAACCACAAAATCCCAGTCGCAAAGTCAGCATATTGCCCTGCATTCTTAACACAGACAATTATGAACAGCCTATTAAACTAAATCCACGAATAAATTGAAATATTCCACCACACGGTCCAGAGGGTTCAAGTTAAAAAAAACGCTAAGTCAAATGATAATTACTTCCATCTAAAACACCACAACAAACTTAAGAGGTCAATAAAAACCCAGAAGCCAAAGAAGCATGCACATTCTGAATGCCTAATAAAATGAAAAACATAACAACCCAAAGTAACCAAACAACGAATAACTCAAAAGCATCACATAACCAGTAAAACCCTGACCCATCTCCAAAATTCCAACTTTCCCACAAAAAAAACCAACCCAAAATAGTATTATAGCAAGAATAAAGAACAAAAATCAAACAAAACATGCCAAACTCTAACTTCCACTATCATTTGAAACAAAGAGCAAGAACCCAGATTAAAACAGAACTAAAAATAGAAAAAGAAACAATCCCATGACAAGAACTAACCTGCCATTGCCAAATGAAGCTGCATTCCAAGAAATGCAAGTAAACCCATCAACAAAAAGGAGTGGCCCCACACCTCCATGGTCGAGATGAAGGAACAAAATAAAGAGAGGGGGATTCGAGATAAGTGAGTGAAGGAACAAAACAGGCGTGCGCTTAGTTTTAGAACAGCAGGGAACTTACACAGTACTGGAGGAGGTGAGTGAGAGAGACTCAGACTAGTGTTAGACCGTTAAGTGTAGTGAATGTGAACGAGGTTTTTTTTTGACTGTGTTATGGAAAATTGGAAACTAAACTCAACTTAGTGCCCATTGAGACGGTACAAATATGTAGGCCCCATGTTTCACATCATGGATTTTGTAGATGATCCTCGTGCCTTTGTATTTCAGAGCGAGTAAAAAGAAGATTATTCTTTATCTCATTGCAAACTTTTTTCTTTCTCCTTCCCTTCAAACAAAATAAACAAAAAAAAAAAAAAAATCTTTATCTCATTGCAAACTTTTTTCTTTCTCCTTCCCTTCAAACAAAATAAACAAAAAAAAAAAAAAATTATCTAAATTATCTCATCAAATACTAAACAGAACATCACTGGAAAATAAAAAAGGAAATAACTTTTCTTAATAAGAAATAACAGAGGAAAGGAGGATAGATTTATATGAATATAAGCATGTGAAGTGAAGTATATTTGAAGGAAAAGGGAAAGTGGCAGCCACAACTGTTCCATACTTGAGGATAATGACATGTTCGTTTGTATATGGCCATAGGTATCTTTGGAATTATATATATAGATGCTGACAAATTACACCTAATCTTTCATTATTAAAATAGATAAACCCCTTTAATTAACAGATTTTGTTCCAAGGTAAAATTGAATAGTGTGACGGTATTTGTATAAATTTTGGTGAGGATGGATTGATAGAGTGAATTTGTGTCGTGTTGTGCTGTTTGTTTTGTAATTTCGTGCAAGTTTTTTTTGGCCTCCTTGGCCCGTGACAAGCTCTGCCCTGAAACCGAACTTTGGCATAGAAGAGAATTTTGATGTCATGAAGGAAACTTGAAATTTGTAATATTTATAGTTAATATAAAAGTATACAATGTTTTGGTGTTATTGAAATTTAAAACCGAATTTTTGCATAAAACTCAACATCTTTTGAATAATACATCCAACAGTCTTAATTGATCATTCGATGACCCAATATGATTAGTGTCATTGAGACTGTTGGCAAAGCTCGTGGATTTTTATCTGGCATTGCTTCCAGTTATGAAGAAACAACGACAAATGATTTCTACAATTATTAATATTTGTATCAATTTTTTTTTATTATATTAGATAAATATGGAAAGGTCTCCAGTTCTTTTGTTTTTTTTTTTTCCTCAAACAGATGTGTTGTTATTAAATAATTTTTCTTCTCAAGTTTTAGAAGATATATCTTATTTTATGATTATAACTTTAGGGGGCGTTTAGTTCAAGAATGTAGATTACTGAGAATGTGGATTACTAAAAAGAAGATTACCTTGGAGATTACTAGGAATCTTTAAGAAAATGTGTTTGGTTAGTTGGTGGGTATGTTATATAATGGTTGGTTATGGGGAATAAATTGGTGGGTATGTTATTTAAATTACTAAATTGTCCCCTACAAATATTAATATAATATTATTTTATTATTAATTTTTGAATAATTTCTTTTAACCCCCAATATTTCAGATTTAGTCAAAACACCCCGCTTATATAAAACTTTAATTTATTACGAAATCACCCCACCTCCTGCCGCTGCCTACCGCCACCGCAGACCACCGCCGGAAGTCTCCGAAAATCCCATCAGCAACTCACCGTGACCAAGAGGCATCGCTATGGTCGTTTTCCCATATCAAGCCAGATCTGACTGGTAATGGCCAGATCCTTGGCCATAACGGCCAGATCCACCAATCTGGCCTGATATGGCCGTTTTCGGCCATCAATATGGCCGGAAACGGCCATATCGATGCCTCCGGAGCCTCCACCGAAACTCGTTCTTTTTTAGGGACTCCGGCGAGTTTTCGGCGGCGGTCCATGGTGGTTGGCCGCTGTCAGCGGTGGTGGTAGTGGTGGTGGTGGCTGAGTGGTGTGGTGGTGGTGGCTGAGTGAGTGGTCTGTAAATGTTTTAAGTACAAGGACATTATTGTCCAAAATTTTAGTTAAATAAGGGTAAATGAAATAGGAATTAATGTAAATTATTTTAAAATGGGGCATTATGTCCAAAATTTTCATTAATAAGGGATAAAATTGTAACAAAAATGATAACCCTGGTAATCTCAGAATACCTAAGAAAATGGAGGTAATCAGATTACCTCCAATATTACCAATAGTAACTACTATTGGTATTTGAAGATTATCGGATCTTATATTACTTGACAACCAAACGTGGTAATCAAGTAATATAAGTGACATTACCCCAATAATCTAACATTACCGCACAACAAACGCCCCCTTAAGGGCAAAGTTATCCCCCATTATCAAAGTAATGTCATCTTATATTACTTAGATTACCATGTTTCATGTCAAGTAATATAAGATTCGATAATATTCCAAAACCAATATAATTACCGTAGGTTATATGAGTGGTAATCTGATTACCTCTATTTTCTTAGGTATTTTAAGATTACTTGGTAAAATTAATTTTGTTATAATTGTATCCCTTATTAATAAAAATTTGGACAAAAATGCCCTTATTTGAAATTAATTTACATGAACCTACATTACAATTTTACATTTAATTAATTAAAGTTTTTTTTTTTTTTATAATAATACCCTTGTATTTAAAACAAATTACAGGTCACCCAAGACCACTGCTACCCGCCAGCAACCACCGCCGATTGACGTGGTCGGAACGACGCCTGACCATGGCTAGATCTCTAGCCACTAACAACAGCTAGATTCTGGTTGTCAACAACTAGATTTTGGCAGTATATCTAGACATTCTAAAAATGCCTATATCGACGCACAACCGGCCAAATCCAGCCAATTGTGTGTCGTTTTGGCGACTACCAACTGGTCTAGCGGTGGTGGCCGGTGGCTGGCTATCCTCTTAGGTGGCTGGAGTGCTTTAGTTAATTTTTAAACGTTTATGTGAGATGTTTAACTAATTAACAAATGTAGGAGGTTAAAAAAATAATATAAAATAATAATATTATTATTATTATAATAAAAGGGTAATTTAGTAATTTATATAACTTACTCACTAATTTATTTTAACATAACTAAACATATTTTCTAAACACTCATAGTAATCTTCTAATGGCGAAAATCCTAGGGTCGTAAAGAGTAAGCATTAAATTCCTGTTTCCTAGTTGCATACAGAGAGTTGTTTCTATTGGAGTCAGTTGGGTAAAGATTAAGGAATAGGGTCTCATGTGTGAAGCCATGGAGCTATCTTAGTGGCAAGCAAGCAATGATGCTGACAAGAGAAAATTACATAAAATTTGCGGAAAAAGGAATGGACATGGTTTCTCTTTACTCTGTACCCTCTTCCTATTAGTGTTCTTAAATGGCTAAACCATCACAAAGTCTGTAAACTAACTGTTAAGATTAAGAATATTATTATTCTAATATTAACTGAAAATTTAGAAATATATTAATGTTTTAGTAATAATTCTTTTTCTAATTGTAATCAATTAATGTTTCTGCTTAGGGTTTTATTTCAATTTTTCCTTTTGGGATTATTAAACATTAACTCATCCACTTCATTATCAAGTATTAGAATTACCCTTCTAATTATTAAAAACCCACCTTGAAAATGTCAAACACCTCCTTAAAAAAATATAAAAAACCCCTAATACAATTGCTTATAATACTTTTTTTCTAAATAGAGCGGATATGTTTAATATTAAGTAATTGTTCGAGAAGAAAATGAAATAAACTCCTTTTAACTTTTTTTTTAACCATCAAAGGTGTTTGAGCCAGTTTGTGCAAACCTTAACTAATTTTCCAAATCCTATAACTAAACTAATTTTCTAAATCCTAGAACTATCGACCAAGTAAGAGTTTCGGTGACCACAGAACTGTCAGCTAGGTAAAAGCCCCAATAACCACCCCTACTAGGGCCTGAGAGGTCTCAAACTTAGAAACTCATAGAACCTCATTTTGTTCTTTTACCATCAGACCACCCAATGGTGGTTAACCCCTTTTAACTTATTAAAACTTGTTTCAAGAAAAAATTGTCAAAATATATTATATGTGACCTATATTATATTGTAACCCTTGTAAGTGTGATGCTTCCAAACATAATCAAACTACTGGTCCATTCTTTATAATTTTCGGTTAAGTTGTTAAAAAGGAAAAGGAAAGAGGTGGGAGTTTATGTCAGCTTTTTATGGACAAAAATTCATGTGACATTAATGGTGGCTTTTAATAACAAGAAGCATATGCTTTGAAAGGCTGAACTCTTTAGTAAATGGATTGATGTTGACTGTGCTTCAATGGCTCTTTGGCATGGAGTAGAGAGTAGAGACACGCAGACAAACAACATATTAACCTTGTTTTTTAAATTTTTGCGATGCGAAGCAAAATGACATTAAGAAAGACTACGAAATTGTGAGGTGAAAGCAACATTGCTCTTTAGAATTATGAAGTTACCCTACTTAAGAGAATGTCTTTGTCAATCAGTGTTGTAATTTCTTCATCAACCCAATTCAATATTTCTCTAAAGAAAACGAAACTTCCTTTAATGAAAACCTCAACAGGATCCCTGTGTTTTTAGATAATGACTTTGTTTGATGGTCACAACAGAGAAAATGGATTTGAAAGAACTTGGATAAAAGAGAAATTTTTTTATGATAATTAAAGACCTATATTATATATGAATATGAAACATTCACTCTTAATAAACTTCAGTTGTTTGTTGTTGAGAGCAATTTTTATAATTTCCTTCAACTTTTTCAAAAGCTGAAACTCTTTTTTTAGTACAAACGTGATTCTTTTATTTAATAAAAAATGTGATAATACTTTCCTACATTATCTCACCATAATATATATTAGTGCAAGGATTAGCAAAACCATTCACAATTCAAGAACACTAGCCATTCTCCATATTTTCTACTCGTTCATAGTTTCAACAAACGAACATCAAAATTGTCAATGCAGGTATTTGATTAAACTTCTCTTTCTCTTCGAATTACTTCCACTGATCTTAAACATAAGCAACTCTGTTTATTATTCTTTTGCAGAAGTTCGTTTTCGTTGTCATTTCAACAACTCTTTTCTTTAGTTTTTCCTCTGCTCTCAAGGTACTCAACTTTTTTCATATTAACTTGCCAAACAATTCTCTCTCTCCCTCTCTCTTTTTTATAAATTTTCTTCTTTTGATGGGGTGTGATTGTTTGTGGGATGACAACAGGAAGGACAGACATGTTTAAAAGATGAAAACTGTGACTCTGGGTTACACTGTGAAACCTGTATTGCTAATAGTTGTTACTCTAATTGAA